GTCACTATAAAACGGGCCATGAAAGTCCTAAAGAGCGCTCACTCCGACCAGATTCCAGTCTCAGGGATAAGGCTTGTGGTTTTGAATCTCGTTCAGTGCCTCGCTGGAATAGCCGAGTCTTCCATCCACAGTCTCGATTGACAGACACCGGACTGTCCGTGAATGATAAAGCTGCGTTTATCGATTTGGCGAACGCCAGCGTCTACGAACGTCCGCCGCGGGCAACCTGCGTCCCGAGGGACTGGAGCAGTATAGGATCGATCTGGTAACACCACTTTCCACCAACCTTTGCCGACGTGCAGTATGGAGTGTATGGGGAAGTAGGAGGGTAGCAGACAGGATTAGGCATCGTGAAGTTGCAACGTTGCACCCGCACCATACAAGCATAAATCATGCATAATTGTCTGCTTCAACACTTGTACGGTTCTGTTGCCCACGCCGCAATATCACGGCGCCTAACCAGACTGTTTGCTACCCTCCATACTCTCCACTCTGGGACGCAGCTGTACGCTGGTGGACGCTGACGCAAAGTATGAGCGCAGCCTAAGAAAACTAGTTCACTCATGGGCTAGACCTGCAAGTTAAAGAAGAGCCTATATCACTCTCAACAGCCATTATGATTTCAGCTGGAAGTGAAACAGAAGGCACATCCCATGCAGACATCGCAAAAGCTTGACTCCTTTTGTTCCATTTGGAAGAGGCGCTTACCATCACCTGCACTCTCTACAAAATCAGATACTGTCTAGGCTAACCTAGCTTTTGATTGTGTCGGTTCAGCTAGCTGCGTTAACGGGTCCGAAGTTTAACGGAGAACTCTAAAATGTAACTCAAACTGTGAGCTCAAGCTATTTCAGATCTTCCTCGGAGGGAGTATTCATACGGAAAGCGGTGTGAAGATCATTCATGACGAAGAGTTGAAGGCGAGTCTGCTTGGTCCCTTCAGTACAAATGCAGCGGTCATTTTTACATTTTTCAGGAAGCACCTCCTGCACGATACGTGAAGGGAAAACGCGTCGAAGGTGGACCCCAAATGCTGCAACTAAGCCTTGATGGGAAACGTCTCTATGTGACGAACGTCTCTCTATCGAAAATGGGACGAACAATTCTACCCAAACCTCATAAAGTTTGTGCTCGATTTTCTGCCACTTTTTGATCCCTTCTATTTGACTGTGTAAGAGACTGGAGATCCACGTCGCGGCGACAAGCCCTTCTGTCCAATAATAATATCCCAGCGCACAAGGCATCTTCCCCGTGCCCAGGTAATGTACGCAGCCACGCCCACTCCGTGCTGGAATATGCAGTGTTATTGAATTCACACGAAAGTACTACAGTATGTCGAGCCAACTAGCCAGCTATTGTGCGTTGCCGCTACGTGGATCTCCTAGGCTGCACCGCAGTTGCACTATCGAACTTGAAGCTCTTTAGAAATGGAGCAGTGATGCTCCAGGTTGACATAGGAGCTGAAGGCAAAATGACTCTGAACGAGGAGTTTCTTGTGGATTTCGGCGCCATGGAAGGAGGGCCTTATCTTGCCCATGAGATGCGCTATCCTGGTGGAGATTGTACTTCTGACATTTGGTTTTAGACTTTTTGATTTCAAGTCGTACTTATTGGATCAATCAACTACTTGAATTATATTTACTCACTGAGCTATTTGTCATCTGTGGAATTGTTTATCTATTCAGACTCTGTAACATTTCTTCTCTGCCAGCAGCAAGGCAGCTCAAAGGTACAGTCCACGTTGACTAAATGGACGAGCCGAGCCTACCATGTCTTCCTCGTTTGAAGGTCCTTTTTTGCAGTAGAAGAGGGATGCACTAGTAAGGGAGCGACCCAATGGCGGCCCTAACTCCGCCGACACGGTCTACGTGGAATGTGCACTTGAATTAGCTTTTCCTTTCACATTAACTGGATCATAAGCTATTTCTCAGATCATACGCTCTTTCTTATCAAGACCCTGTGCTGCATTTATTCATTGTTTTTTGTCCAAATAAATGTAATTTCACAACGATATATATAAAATAGGTGTAGGCGGAATGACGCAGCCAGTTGCCACAGGCAACTGCGCTTTAGCGAGACAGCTCTCGCGATCAAGCGGTCCACGAAATGCCTCCATGCATTTGGCATCGTTGTCCGCATTCGCAGAGAATATACCACTTTCGTCACTCGAAACGGCGAGATAAAGAAGCTAGAGACGCGTGATTATTGCAACCATTGCAACCACGATTACTTTCACTCTGCAAGACAACGGCTTACAAGCGGAATTGCGTGTGTACATAGCGTTGCCTGGAGCGTCGTAGGGTGATTTCCTGTGCTCTTGCCGGGAATTGGTTGCACGTCGAATCCCGCTGATTGGCCTTCCCGAAGTCCGACAAACTCGTCTAAGGCGCCCACTTCTAAGTGGGTCTCTGTTCAGAGTGTTCCCAAAGTTTTTTATCTATTCTTTCTCTACTGAGGAGTTAATTTGGGCTACTGGTTCATGATAGAGCACCAGCTACACCTAACAGTTGATCGCAGTTGTCTTTAGGGGGTAAACTACCGAAAACTTCATCTACTGAGACACGTTCCAGGAAAGAACGAAACGCTCACAAAGACCTCAAAGTGAAAGAATGGGGCACCAACATAAGAGTCAGGGAGCAGTCACTAAAGAAAACGCGGCATTGAAAATGGTTTGTGATAGTGGTCTGGTTGGTACTGGTTGCGAAGTTACGCTCGATGAGTTCCTTTCCATCCTATGAACAAGTTTTCATCGGGACATTGGGACGCTTCTTATGTGCGCCCAGCAATTCTTATAGAGACCTGATCGCGCAGACGCCTCGCATATTGGATCAGGTCTAATAGCTGGGGCACTAAAACTATTTTTGGCCCTCCTAGTCATTCTAGCACTACCGGCACTTCAGTGATTATTACGCTACCTGTTATGTTTTCATTAAAGTCGCTTTGCTGCCATGGTAATGATACCTAGGAAAAGATCTGACTTGTACATTGGTTGGACTGAGTAACTCGATGTCCATTTGTTCACTCCCAGGTGGCTAACAGGCTTAGACTCACAACTTTTACGCCTTCCTCACAGGTGTGTCTCTTTTCTATACCATACCTGAAGAGGCGCTCTGATGATTGTGAGTCTCTCCCCCTTTTTTTTTGCTCTTTCGGTCTGCACTGAATGTGTACAGTCATTATCCTACAAACGAGAATGAATGTGAGGAGACACGGATTGGGGGGGGGGCACTCTGATGCCCCTACACACCACTGTTATGATCCTGGACCCAGAACAGTTGATAGAAAAAACCGCCCTAGCTGCGCTCCAATCCACCTCTCGCTCATCCGTAAGCCCTCTCGTTTGTAGGGATAGTGACTGTACTTGAACCTGATCAAATACCCTGGCATTTGACCAGGTTCAAGTACATACGCGCGTGGCGCATCACAAAGGATCAAATCAGTCGGGACGAGGTGGATGAATGAGCCTACGCATGGCGTTTCCACCACTGGTTGTTTTCTTCCTGATCGATCACTGACCGAACACTATTGGTAGAGCTAGGCAGCCGTGGGTAGGGTCATCCCGCCCCTCCTGGCGCCACCCTTACTGACTGCGGCGCTATCACTTAAACTCGATTGCATTTTGCATTACATCCCTTATAGAAGACTTATCACTTTAACCTATGACTCCTGCGGAAGTTTCTCCTTTGATTTCCATTCAAATTGCTCAACAACCCCTCGTATGCTTCCTTTGAGTTTATCGAGTGGAAACTTCCCAACCTCCGAACCGGTCATTTATACCGTACAATGGCGATTTTTTTTGCCTCTGCATACATATCGCTCTCTGTCAACATGGAACAGCACGCATTCGATAGTGCCTCGTATTCCAAGGATCGAATCTCCTCTTTGATTTCAAATCTACTACCTTTCCTCTTAAAGAGCGATTGAGTCCCCTTCGACAGTACTTTGGCTTTTTCGCGTGCTTTTGAAGAACGACCAGAATCTATTGTAGAATTCGCCCCGGAGCTCAGCCGTTGTGCGAAACACGGTAGGGAAGTTTCTGCTCCTAGAAAGAGAGGGGCTCATCAAAAGAAACCCTTCTGACTTGAAAAAAGTCTTCTGACCACTGATATTTCCTGTTTCACTCACGGATGCGCGCTGTGCCGCTATATATAATTTAAAACATCGCAACAAGTCGGGGGAGGAGGGGTGGAGGGGGAGGCGAGAGCAGGCCCGCCTTGCTCCACCAATAGTGATTAAGTAGTGATCGATTCAGGAAGAAAACAGCCACTGGTATGACGCTGCAGGCGAATAGCGTTTGATGCGACCCGACTAATTGCGGTGATATAAACTGTACCTCCCCCGCTACTTGGACGAACCGAAAACCTGATAGTTGATCGGAGGTCCCTTGCCTCCCACCTCCCACTCGATGGCAAATGTTGAAAAAAAATTTAGATGGTGGGCGAGGGGAGTTGCACCAGAGCAGGAGATTCGGAAGGGTCGTATTTCGTAAAATATTTCCGCGTACTGCGGCTTAAGGGCATTTTGCACTCTTGCTAGCTCATGAAGTAGTCCAGCTTAATCGACGCTTTCATTATGATGACACATCGAAGTTTGTGAGGCTGAAAAATGCTACAAGTTATCTAGTTCGGTTACAGAGTTCGCATTCTCACAATGTGACCTGCACAGGCTCGCTGAGTAGCGTTTGCTGCCCCACCAAGCCAAACTGCCTTAAACTCTCAACAGTGTTGCAGTGTGCCCCATTTGTAAACCTCTCCGGTCTTCAGTTTCCAAAATTAATGAGTATTTCAAAAGTGAGGTCTGTCAAGTATGCCGTCAGAGGTGAAACATTCTTCTCTCCTCTCGTCGTTAACTCACAAAAGCAAATGGAATGTTCGAGAATTACCACATTGAAACTCAAGAAAGAAACTTAAAACTCTGAGTAGAGCTATCAACTCCGAAGTCGTTACTTTCATGAGTTCCACTACCTAGTAAGAACCGGTTTTTGGCATGTTACTGAGGTGGATACAGAAAAAGTGAGGATGAATGTCTCTCTATAGTGAAACCATTTCTTGAGAAAGTACGATTTCTACGCTGTCAACCCTTTGCTAACCGATTAGAGTGTACTCTGAAATTACCTGTAGTACCGAGACTGTGCTGGGTAAACATTAACCAAACTACGTCTCAAAATGGGAGATTCGGCTGATTTGCTTACCAGTAGAGTAAAAAACGCAGAAGAACCCGTCAAACCACCGCAAATAAGATCCCTCGGCTTTCGGGCCTAGTACGAGAATATGGCGAAGATATTGCGCACTTGAGTGAGCTCTCCCTTGCTGAGATCGCCAGATATCACACTCTTATCAATTCACTTTCCACTTCTGGATCCTTGTCATTTTCTATCTTATTGCACTTGATCGGACGCTTCCATTACCGCGACGTTAAGGTGGGCGGGCACGGGCCTATTGGGTGTGCTAGGTCATTAGCCTGCAGCGCCCTTGCTGCGCACTTCGAGCCGTGAGTAAGCAACATCAGCAGTTGGGGGCTCGGTTACCTCACGAACAAATCACTCAGTATATGTCGTACATTGACGATTCAAAAAAAGTCGCATTTGGTCACTAGAGGGTGGGGGGAAGGGTAGTGTTCGGTCTGGGAGTCTTCTTTTATTTTGCAAACATTTTCCACAGGTAATAGTGCATCCTATAACCAGTAGTTTACATTAAAGACAGCCCCGCGCTCAAGTAGTCCATGGTCGTCCTTCCTTGTGCAGGTAGTTCAGCCCCCAAGCTAGATGCTGTCCCACTCTCGCGACTCCACAGTGAGCGAGGAGCGAGCTACAGCCGCTCAAAGTTCTAGTTCTAACGCCCGCTCAGTTGGACCGCCCACTTGCTAGCTGCCCTCTGACGGAGAGCCGCTCAGTTGTTCTTTGTTGGGACGGCGGGCATTAATCGGAACTGCATGTACTTTTTGCTGACCGCGCTCGTGCCCATAAATAATTCTGCTCTCCTTCATCACATTTTATTCATTGGGAGCACATACAGTCAACTGCAACCCATCTCGTAAGGTAAAACGCGTAAAAATCACGAATGATGCAATTTCTGCAAAGCTCGACATGCACCAAAAGCTGCACACTGCACGTAACCCCAAATTCGGACGCCAGGTTTTTGAATTTTTCCTTTTTTCAAGTGTTTTTCGTTCGTGTCTTTGTTGTTTTTCATATTCTTTTCTTTGAATTGGATGTTGTCCACTACTGGGAAATGCCATAAAGCGATTTGTGAGCCAGGGGTTGCCCACGGACCGCAGGGCGGTGTAACTGTAAGGGAGCAATTTTGTTTGTGGTGTTCTTGAGGGCTCTTGTTGCTTTTTTCCTTCATTGAGGAATTACTTATCAGCTACTGTTTCATAATTGATCAGCAATTATCCTTGACACTTTTGTGGACCCTTAACATTATGTCGAGATTCTTCCTTCTTTATTTATTATATTTTTCAAGCCTGGTGTCCAAGAGAAGGAGAGGTGGTGCTCTGAGCAGGAGCTTTTTTTGGAGGGATATTTTCCCTCTACAGTTCCTGTTCTCGTTCACACTGCTGTGCTCCCGCATCGACTCGTTATTC